TTGAAAAGTGTAGAGATGGCGTGACAACAGGTAGCTACAACTTTGGGGATTGTGTGACTACAAACTGCGTCAAATGTGAAAAGGGTGCATCTGCAGACTGTACCAAATGTCAGGATTGTGTGAATAGAAAGTACGGAAGTTGCCAGGACAATGTGACTACAGAGGGCTGTGGGTCTGCGGCTGAAGGTCAGCAGGATGCTACAATAAAAGGTGTTCGTAGGAGAAAAAATACCGCAACTAAAGAGGGTCATAAATGTGGGACTGTGGGTATCTTAACTCAAAGATTCTTAGGCATTGTACTTGAAATCCTTATAAGTGACTCAAGGAAAGGAACAACATCACTGGGCCAAATCAACAGATTACCAACTTCTCAGCAATGCAAAGGAAGCAAGTATTCCAAGTCAAAAAGCAATATACAAAGCATCTATAATTTCAATAACTTTCAGTTTGGACCTGGAGGAGTCTTGAAATGTCTCTTGTCATTGCAGAAACTAGATGATATTGATGTAGAAGGAATTTATGAACTGTATAAGAAAGTCACCAGACATTTTGAGTGTAACCCTGGTGTCAGGGACAGACTGGGTGTCAATGGCCCTTACACTTCACCTCTGTGGAAATCAGTAGCTTCCATTAATGGAACTACCCATGGCTTATCACAAAGTACTTCCAGTGTTTCCTCTGAGACAGAGGAAACTTCAGTTTTGTACTCTGATTTTCAAGACTGTCATAATTTGCATGATGCAGTTCTTAGAATCTTTAAATTTGCTGTTGCAAGTACTGCAAAGGATTCATCCGTCATGATAGCATTTCAGAAAATACGAAACAAAAGTATGTCCACTGCATCGATGGTTGAAACAAGAGCTGGTGATATATTTCATTACAGTATTGATCTTGTTGACCTAGAACCAAAAGAATTTGACCGTGTCTTGAAATACTACAATGATAGCAAAAATGCTGTCGAGAACTATCTGGAGTCCATTTAGGATGAGTAAAGGGGACATGTAGGGATTATTAATTTTAATAGATAGGCATACCAAAACATTTTCATTATTATTTAATTTTTTTTTTTTCAAGTTGGGAACTGGGATTTTAGACAGCTTTGATTGTACTGTGCAAACAATCAATGCCAGAATATTGCCTTTGACATGGCAAGTGTATAGAAATTGAAGGTCGAACAAGCGGTGTGTTGAAGTTATTTAATTTTACTGTATTTTAAAATATTTAACCACACCTATTATGTTGTGAGAAAGTGCTGTCACTTTTACATTCTTAGCTATTCAGATTATGATTTCTAACTTACATCCTATTATTTATTTATCATTTTTGGAATTTTAGCCACACTGACACAATAAAGCCCCAAGGGCATCAAAACTTACTGTTCCACTCACAGTGAGTTCATAGGTACTATTTACTGTTAAGTGTTCTGGCTTACCATAGTACTCTAAAGAACAAGTGGCAGTTATTGCTTGTTTCAGAAAAGGAAATGCAAGCACAAGGTGTGCATATGGGCACAAGATGTGTAACCCAGAGGAGGCCATGAAAAAAACACATCATTGTTCATGCTGTCCCTGCATATAATCTTTTTTTTTTTTAGCAAAAAGAAACTTCCCTTTGATGCTTTTCCTTTTCACAGTGGGCAAACGGGATGCCAAACGTGGCCACTTAGGAACAACTTTAGCAGTTTTTATCTGTTTGAGCTCAACATTTGCAGGATGGTGGAACTTTGTATTCCAAACAATCATATGTTTTTTTGTTTTTTGATTTTAACAGGTTTTGGCAGGAAAATGATATGATGTAACGAGACAGCCAAATTTAAATAAACAGATGTGACAAAAATTTTTTGGAAAAACTGAATTGCTTTAGGAGAAGCTTTAGCACTGGGCTCCCTTCAAAAAAGCCATCGTTTTGAAGGGAAACTAATGATGGCAATGTAAAGTGTCATCTAGCCTATGAACAGGTTCACTTATGGGGTATAGGTCAAAGAGAAAGTGAGAAAGCGTCCCTCACTATGTATTCTCAGGTTTACTTTAATAGACCCTTTTGTTTTTTTGAAGTAAGAAAATATCCATCAACACTGCAAGAGATAGCCTCCCACGCAGATGTTTTTAGGGGTTCGTCACACGCATGACAAAACCTCTAAGAACGTCTGCGTGGGAGGCTATGCGAGAGAGGGTATAAGTTTAAAGGTGATACATCCAAAGAGAGGGAAGATATAGATCCACAAAGCCATGAAATTTTACACATTTGTATGGTGGGGGTACAACCTTGCCCCCTTCCCCCCTCCAGCATACAAACATCCCCCACTATGTCAAATTCCACTACTTTGTGGAACTCTACCTTCCTTAGATTTCAACAAATCTCTTTCAAATTTGACAACTTAACAGATTCTACAGCTTTCTTTCCAGTCGTGTTGACTAATTTTCACCAACTGGTCACAGTCTGAGTCAAAAGTTAAAAAACCATGGAAGGGTATAATAATGCTGAAAAATAGGTGTTTAAGGACATGGAAATGGTTGAGGTAAAGGACCTAGATTTTCCTTTAATTATACAAGAACAATTAGCAACCAAAAAATTATTTCATCAAAGATTATTATTTTTTAATGCCATAATCACTTTCAAAAAAACATACACCTATCATTTATATCAGAATTATAATAAATTGTTAGGAAATAGGTTCTACCCTAAGATCAGAATAGCTTTAGATGAGCAGAACAGCAACTCCCGACTTATACATTTCTTTGCCGTCACTGCACGACAACGACGTGAAAATACCAAATTTCACGTTTTGTGGAGGACATGAACACATGACAAAGAATTTCTTCTTCTTTTCCTGAACTTTGATAGTCTTTTAGAATTCAACCCCAGAAAAAATTGATAACATTTGACGAACTGAACGAGATGGGATAAGCGCGATAAAGTTTGAAGCAGTGCGAATTCACTTCTTAAGTGACATTTTCGTAGCCATCGCCATCATGGTTGCTTAAGCGCACTCTGATCGAGTAAGTCAGGGGGAAATTAAATAGTTAGGAAGTTCTTTTGGTTCTTTTTTTTTGTCTTGTTCATGATGAAAGTAGCCGAAGGGCATGCTCGAAGTAGCCAAGAAAAATCCCAGGGATGTAGATTAGGAAAAGCTAAGGAGGCTCTTTTATTAATCAAGCCGGCTTTTTTACTCAACTGCACCTTCAAAATAATATTATTCCAGGTATTTGTTTATCAGAGCAATTTGGGCCAGTGGTGAGCTCCTTTTAAGCCAGTGAAAAAAGCCGGCATCCGGCTCTTAGCGACATTCCTGAAATCCCTGGGCCCCAACCCTTAGCAATAGCCCTGAATACTCAAAACATGTACTGCTAATTCCACAATGTAAAGATTTTTAGCGTTACACCACATCTTTTGTGAGGAAAATTTAATTTACTAACCAAAATTTTCATCATTAAAGATTCAAAGGTTTGACACAAAAAAGCACTTGACCTGGCTGTTTGTCATATCCTAGCTAATGTTTTCACTTTTACCTAAAGATGTTGGTACTGTTAAATTTATAATTTTTAATAGCTAACATATTTCCACTAGGGGCATACCCTTGGGGGTTCAAGAAGTTCTGCACCACCCCCTCCCCCTCTTTTTTTTGTTAGCATAAAATGGTTCTATTGAATTTTTCACTTGTTGCTCTGAGCACTTAAGAGTATTACAGATATACCTAACTTTGTTTAAGCCCCTCTGCCAACTGTAAAATTCATGAGTCTGCAACAGCAAGAAACCTACGGCATGACAGTGTACTAGCTACTACCCTACAGTTATTGTTTTTGCAAGTTAACCATCTTGCCTTTGGTAGTACCTATGAGTGATTTCTGTTTTCAGTCTATGCAGAGATGATGATCTATCCTAATTGGGTTCTTTAAAGAAAACTCAGGGCGCTTTCCATTCAACAAAAATTCTGGTCTGAAATTTCGGAAATTCCACGTGCCCAATGGAACTGTACAATTATGTACATTCCAGTTGCACAGACCCGATCCAAGCCACTGTATGTTTGCTCACTGTTCTTGTAAACAAGATACAAAAGAGCAGTTCTGGGGACAACAATTTTCTGAAATGGAAAAAGGACATTTCAGTCCAACCAACCAAAATGACCAGACCAGTCAAAGAGGACCATCTTCAAAGCCACTCCCAAATATTCCAGTCTGACCAATGCAAACAGAAATGGTCCATTCCATTTGATGTACCAACCGAAATGTACGGAATTTTGGGTTGAATGGAAAACACCCTTAGATTTCCATTTGACTTATTTAATACGGGTTGAACCCCTCCCTGATACCCCTTTGCAAAAAAGGCTGGGTGGGTACGCCCCTCCCACCCGTCGCCCAGAAAACTGCTCCACTAGCTTTAAAGCACGTTTTTCGGCAAAATCTCCAGGGGCAAATGGGTTAAAGCAATTCACGTGGTTTGCCCACTCTGACTACTTCTCTGGCCACCACTATGAATTTTTTTGCAAAAGGGGAGGGGGTTGAAAAGTTACAGTTTTTTAAACACATTTTCAATAACCTTAATCCTACTGGTGATACATGTACTAAGCAGTCATAATTACTAGTAACAAACACAAAACAATAATATTATTTACTAAAAACCCTTAAAGCCACAATATAACCATTTCTTATGGTACTGCTGGAGACAATTATTTTGTTCACTTATCAAGAAGACATTAATTTTCACCTTTGGTGATCATTTCATCATTCTCATGCCCTTTAAGTTTGATCAGGCAGTGTTACTGTTGGGAGAAATTGGATACTGGTCACTATTGAGGCTAAAAGGGTTAACTGAGATGAAACCCATAGGGCCACAGGATTTACAATACTTTTCTTACTATTCATTCATTTTTCAAACCACAGATAAACCTAAAATATAACTTGCTGTTTTAACAACCACAACAATCAACAATTAAGAATGAGAGCACATTCCTCTGCCCTTTTCTTCTGTACAAAATACAGGGAAGCCAACTGAAGAGTTGCTTATTTAATGTTAACAGGCTTCACATCATTAACACCCATAGCTTTGACATTCCATATCTCCTCTGCATACTGCCTGATGGTTCTGTCACTAGAGAATTTGCCAGAGGATGCCACATTTAAGATAGCCATGGTGAACCAGTGATCTGGATCCTAGAAGAAAACATCATCACCATTATTTAAGAAGCATTCTATGGGGCTGAAGAAGATGAGCAGAGAGAACAGCCCCTACATCCATAATCTACCATTGAACTTACATCACATTTACAGATTTTAAGTTCTCAAAGATCTCACGACAGAAAGTACCTTTTCCCATAACCTAGGCTCAAGATAAAGAATGCTTACTGTATGTTACTGTATCATATCTAGGAATTAGAAGTCTGATTGTTCGCTGGTAATTGAAAATCAATGCACCATTCCTCACTTAAAATACAATGTCAACAAATCCAACATACAATGTAAGCTTATTTATAACCACAGAAGCATTTTGGTACGGCAAAATAATGATACTCTTTAATAATAATGTTTATTTCTAACTATTTTCATTATTACACTGATAAGCATGTATTAAAAAATGTTGTTATGCTTACCTCAAATGCCTCACTGACTCGCTCTTGACATTTAAGGTAGGCATCAAAGTCAGCCATAAGAAGAAATCTGCAAAAGGAACAGAAAACACGACAAAACTGCAACTTTCTGAAAAACGGTGAAGGAAGATGTGCAAGGGTATGTGAACCCAGGGAAGGTGCAGAAGGCATAAATGAAAGCAGGAGGTCTGAGGGAGAGTAGGCAACTATTGAGGGGATTCGCATCGGATGCTATCGCATAAACCAGTTTAGTTTAAATGCTTCAGTCTGTTTAAGGGTACACGTAAAGCAGGACTGTTGCTAAAATTTCAAGTTCCCAAGTATTCACCACTTTGAGGTGTCGCACGAGACCAGGTTGAAATGGTTGTCAAAGTGCACTGTGGGACTGTTTTGGGGGACAAATTTGCCACCATGTCGAAATGCATCCCCCAAAACAGTCCCACAATGCCCCTGACAATCATCTCGACGTGATCTCCCGGGCGACCTCAAAGTGGCAAAATGCAATAAGTAGGAGGGGAATAGTACAGTTCGGAGCTTCTCTTGGTTCTATTTTCTTTTTGTTTCCTATAAGAGTAGCTGGGGCTCACATTCATAATAGCCGCAGAAAGTTTTCAGCTCCTGGATCCTAGGGACAGCTCTGGTAAAGGTTAAAGGTAAAGAATCCTTATTTTACATCAGTAGCACAAACTAGTCATCTGACTTAAGACCTCCTTCACGTACACAAAAGGCACACACACACACTAACCAACTGTGCTAATCCTTCCAATCCTCCTCAAGAATATATTATTAGGATCTATGTTCTAACTAACCTGTCATGATGAAGCAAAGAATTGACAATGTCTTGAAAAACACCAGGTTCACTAGGTGAGAAGTAGTTATCTCTGATCTGGTTGATAGCTTTCCTGAGCTCACTGTTGTTTTCATAATAATCCATTGCTCTGTAGCTAAACAAGAGACATTACAGAAAAACATTGATTCTATGTGTAAAAAACTTCACAGGAGGCATTTAAGCACATCCAAGTACTGTAATAAAATTATAGTAAAGTTGCCCTCACAGTCGGAGGCACACATATCTTGAAAGCCCTGTTAATCATTAAAGTTAAGACCTACTTATATTGCAATATTAAAGTCAATAAAAAAATCACAGCAACAATAATTGTGTCCAACGGATGCATTCCTAATCTGTGATCACTCATGAAATGTTTCTCTGTAACAGGGGCCTTTCCTCCGCCAGGAACTGGTATTTATGTTCTTATTCGGTTTCAAAGATTTCGCCTTTTTTGCACAAAAATCATGTGAATGGTCCAATGAAATCACTGTCGGACGCAGTCCCCTAAATTTCAATTACTGCTAGTAATAATAAATAAGTACATGCAAGAACTATAAAATATTATTTCTAATTAGTGTCAATTACTCATGTGTTGTTTAGCAGGCACTGGAGTTGGAGAAACTTTTGAATAATTATAAATCCAAAACAATTCCAGCACTGTAACTAACAGTAACAATGTCCTAAATCAGTATTATCGTTGCAGAAAATTGGTAAAAAGTTGCTTACCCTTTTGCTCTGAGGGCATCCACCTCTTCAACTGTCATACCAAAGATGAAAATGTTCTCGCTTCCCATCTCTTCTTTCATTTCAACATTGGCTCCATCCAGGGTACCAATAGTTAAGGCTCCATTCATCTAAAATGCACACAAGGCAAAGTTCAGCAACTTATTGTGGCAAGATTTTTATCCTGGGTAATGATTTTTATAACCATTTATTGAAACAAAATTGACTGAGGAGAAAATCGTAAGTTTATCTAATACTATTCGTACTCTATGATCACGATCATGATCATGATCATTATTTTTTTCAGCGTTATCATAATCTTACCATGAATTTCATGTTTCCAGTTCCAGAAGCTTCTGTGCCTGCCAAGGATATCTGCAATTTTCAGGTAAAGAAAGAAAAACAAAAACACAACGATGAAATTAAAGTATTGATAATGATTCTTAATACGATTCAACCTTAACATTCACTTCTCAGCCACCCATAAAAACCCATTTGGAACCCCACCCTTGTACTGCTTGTGATATCACCTTTTACTTTAAAAATGAGCAAGATTCAGTCAGGCAGGTCACTGCCAGTTACATTATAATGAAAAAGAAATCATTCATGTAAATTTTGACCTGAGAAAACCAACAAAAATCTTGTTCCACTAAACCCCTACACTTCCTTTGAAATAATTAAAGTATAACATCAACCAATCAGCACTTCTTCACCAGATTCCACCCTTAATCTACACCATCAGTATGGAATTTTTGGGGCTGAATCACAAATCTCTCTCCAGTGAAATGTCCCTAGCAGCAAGGAGCCAGGGGAAACTGCTGTATTCAAAGGAGAGAGAAATAGAGATGAATATGAACTCTCATTTCTTACCTGTTCAGACAAGTCAGCAGCAGGAATCACTGAATGACAGTTAAGGAAATATGGCAAACTATTATTAACTGAGTCCCAATGGATTTCTTAAAATTAATAACATTTACAGTGTATCTAACTCCAAACAATTCTTACAATCACCACTGACATGTAGTTAAAGAAAATTGGAATTCCAGAATTAATTGGAATTTCCAATTAATTTCCAAGACTTCCTTCCAAGGGGGAGATAAGGATATTTTCTGGAATTAATCACCTTAAATATTTCCGCTAGAGAAACATAATTGAAATTACTTGCTAAATGGATACGACAAAAATCAACAAAGGAAGGGAAGGAACTTTCACAGACCACAACATAAAATAATAGTATTAATTTAATATTAATACCTATTGTGCCCTTATAAATTTTGCTACCCTATACTAGAGTAAACTCCCCAAGTCCCCCCTATCCTAGAGTAGCTGTTTCCCTAGTCTAGATAAAATCTTCAGCCAACTGATCAGTTTCCTGAGAAATAATACCCTATTCTAGACCCAAATGTTCTGATTTATATACCCTATCCTAGAGTAAACTGCTTGAAAACCATACCCTTTACAGCGGCACATACCTATATAGCCCATATATGGCAGTACCCCCCCCCCCCCCCTAAAAAAACCCTTGTTTCGAACCCAAACTTTATATATTAATAACCCTTGCAGAAGAAAACATGTTTAAAAACCCATCCCTTTCACCCCCCCTCTCAATTTTAGCCCCGTTAATGGCGTCCCCCCCCCCCCCCCTGGGGTTTGCATACACTGAGAAAATCCCAAATGACTGAGCATCCCTGGGGAAAATCCAGAAAAATTGGGAATGTTTCTATTCAGTGAGATGACACCGATTTCTGTTATGACAGTCTGAGATAATGCCCAGCAATAAATGATAAAACTTGAACAGTTGGCAATAGATTTTGTTCAGTACAATGCCTCTTATTGCTTGGATCCAGAGTATTCCTCCTCATAAAACAAAACTGGCATCTTTGTATGGACTCAGAGATTTTCCTCAACAAGTAAAATCTTTGAAGAAGAGCAGAAATACTCAATCACCTTGAATTTTCCCAGCATAATTCTATCAACACATCCACCTTCTTTATAACACAAAGTACAAAGGGCAAGAATACAAGATTACACATTGTGCTTATATATGCGAGTTCTCAAAGGATACCCTTCTCAGCAAGAGACACTCTGTAGTTGTCAAGGAACACAAGCTTGAGTTTGTCTCCAATGATTGGATCATTGTTTATCACTAAACAGTACAAAATACAAGAATATTTCAGCTACCTGAATTCTCATGTACTGAATACATTGTAAAGAAGAACAAATAATGAAGAGGCTAAATTTTAAGCTGCCAAGCTGATTGATCTAATGGAATCTTTTCAGATTGCTGGTATAAAATCCACACTTTCAGAACCTCTGGCCCCAGTTGTTCTAAAGGTGGAAAAGTGCTATTCACTGGATAAATCTCTGACTTTCCTAAAATTTGTCCACTGGATAGTAAATATCCATTGGGTAGATAAATCAATGCTTTCCTATGTTTGAACAACAGTGGCAAGGTTAGCAAAGATGAATTAGGGAAATTATAATACTGATTCAAAAAAATTAATGACAGGCCTAGGAATACAACAAAAATCACTGGCAAATAGGTAGACTGAAAATTGAATTTGGCATTTGTATAACTTATTGTGACAAATTGGATCTTAGGGGTTATAATCTGCTCTTCAATCTGCATAATTCTTCATAATTATTATACTTCAGCCTCAGTGTTACATGTAGCTACTGTAAAAAGCAGAAAATGCAAACCTCTGGCAATACAGTTAAAGAGTTTAATGATCAGTTTGGCCATGTAGTAGCCTGGTGCAGCCTGTTTAACAGAAAAGAAACAGGTTATGAAATGCATTGACGGCTAGACTTAATAATAGCAGCACTTTGCCCTATTGAGTCTACTTTTATTCTAGAAGTATAGGGAAATACACTTAACAGCAAAACAGAAAATAATGAACAAATGAATGAACAAACAAAAGAAAGAATGAATGAATGGCATGTATGATTTGTTCAGTGAGCACAGTGAAATAAACACATACCTTTCCTCCAATCATGACAGTGCGAGGAACAAAGTCCATGTTGGGATTTGCTTTAAGCCCTGCATATAAAACAGAGTGCAGTTAAGTTATAATGCCGATTCTCTTTTGACAGAAACCTTCCTAATAATGACAACCTTAACCCATTCACACCAGTACCACCCGCTACCGCCCACAGGAGCCAGGAACCGCTTGCAGGATCCACATCCCTTCAACCACTTGTGATGTCATCAGTTTTGACAGTCAAGGACAACTTTAAATTTTGTCTGCTTACTTGTGCAGAGTGAAGGTGTGTTTCAAACCATACCTGAATGAGCACAATTCAGTCAAGGAGGCCAGAGAAAAAGGCGAAAAAAGAAACATGGAAAGTTGGCCCGAAAATTCCCATGAAAACCTTGTTCCAATACCTTCCAAACTTTGTTTTCAACTAATCCTGGTAAGATCCTAAAACCTTTCCAAAATCTTTTCCAACCGAAATGAAGCCTGCTAATTAATGACCAGCAAAAGACAAAAAACAATGAGGCTAGAAAAGTGAAACAAGAGGGGAGTCAAGGAGAGAAAGCGAAAGAAAAAAGTCGGGACTTCTGTGTCATTTTTAAACCCAAAAACTATCTTGGAATTTTTTTTCCAAGTTAATATTTTGCACCTGGATTAGAAGGCCACAAAGTGTACGAGCCCTTCATAGCCAAACAGAAAAAAACGTCTCAACTGGCTTCAAAACAAGTTTTTTGGCAAAATTCTGACGGGTGAATAGCAAAAATCTATCAAAGATGGTCCCTTAATGCTGGACTTAATGGTGTCAAGCTAAGAGAGAGTTTATTATTAACTTAGCAACTGCACCACCACCAACTTTTAGCCCATCTTGTACGAGCAAATAATGGGGAATTTCCAGCAATGGGTTGTTCCAGAAAAAATCCACACCCCCCCGACGGATGGGATTCTGGAAATTCTCGCGGGAGGGGGGGTTGAAGACTCCGGAAATCCAGGCGGGAGGGGGGGTTGACCTTAAAAAAGTCTTCTGCAAGGGTCATTTCGACCGATAGTTGATACAAATCAAACGTTTAGTTCGATGACACTTAAGCGCTTTCAGACCCTGAAAATAGTCAAAATGTTTTGTATATATATTTCTCACCTGACATAAATGATAATCTAAGTTGCTTTACAGGTCCTTTTATAGCAGAAAACGCGAACAAGATACTAAAGAACGGGCCTGAAGGAACTCGTCGCAACGTTGTTGTCACGAAGAGCGTCAAACGCCTGACACATTTCTACTCGTACCCAGAGCCCGCGCGCGAAGTGCTGGTGTACAAAATTGCGTTAACTTTTGCGAGGTTCGACAAGGTTATGCTAAATTGAAGTAAGTTTAGAAGAATATCGTTGAATTCGTTACAGAGAGGTTCGTTATAAAATAGAGGTTCCGCTGTGTTTACTTACTGGTCAGAGAATTCTCAGTTAGGTTGTAAATTCCGCATTTCCTATTTAGTCTAGTTCAAAACACCATTACAACTTGTTTTTTTGAGATTTTTTAAAGCCTTATGAAAAAATGTCCCCAAAAATTAATAGTTTTTTTGAGAGAACAAAACAAACAGGCGCCAAATCTGCAAGAGCCTGGTGAAGAATTTGTTCATAGCGGACTTTGTATTTGGATGAATCTGAAAGCCATCTTAATCCGGTTTTAAAATAATTCGTTGGATGAACATGTTAAAATTTCATTTCGTGAATGGGAGCTATTTCAAGTGCTTTTGTCTTGGCTGCATTCTCTTCAGCATGACTGTTGCCTCTCCGATTTAAACGAAAGCGAAACGACCTTTGTAACTATGGCGGACTAAGAAAGCTGTTTATAACGCGAATTTGAACTTCCCTTCCAGTGCACAGTAGAACTACAGATCTTGAAGGTAGGATGTGCAAATGAAGTCATCCATTCTTTAAGTTAGAAAATAATTGTAACGATTAACAAATGTAGACTTTCGTTCTTTGAAAGATTTCGTTGATTTACAACAGTTACAAAATCTCGATCTTCAGTGGACGAGACTGACACGCATGCTGCCGGCTGCCTTATGTCTCGTAAAGGAATGGATATTCATATTTAGCGCAAAGAAAGAAAAAGGTCACTGATTTTTATAAGCTAAGAAATTATGTAAACACTCGTTCAGGTGTCGTTCGCATTTTTGTTTTTTGCTCCTTTCGTTTTTAGTTCCACGCGATAGAATTCTTAGTTTAATATAAGCTGAAGCTTTAGAAATTAAAACAAAAACATTTAGACGTGTTTGCGTGTATTTTCCATTAAAAATAAATTAAATTTAAGCCTTTTATTTTTTTCCCGGAAATCCAGGCGGGAGGGGGGGTCTTCCACCTTGGAAATCCAGTTGGGAGGGGGGGTCTTGTGCTTCAGGAAATCCAGGTGAGAGGGGGGGTTAAAAAAGGACCCCATCCGTCGGGGGGGTCTGGATTTTTTCTGGAATAACCCAATTGAAAGATCAAGGATAGGCCAAAGTCATGAAAAGTTTAATTTACTAATTAATTAACTAATTAATAAGTTGTTAATCAATGATAAACTCACTATTGTACAGCACAATAACATGAAGGCAGTTCATCAGCTGTCTCTTGTACTCATGAATCCTCTTTACTTGGACATCAAAAATTGAGTTCACATTCACCTCAACTTTATACTCCCGCTTGATGAAGTCTGCAAGTCTTATCTTGTTTTCCTAAAGAATAAAAAGATCAACAGGCAACATATCAGTAATATCAGTATCCAGCTGCCATAAATTCTATCTTCTTTCTCAGATTTCTACAGGAAAAATGCTTTAGTAAATATAAACATTTCCTGCATGATATTTGTTTGTTATGCAACTTCCAAAAACTCCCTCACATTATTTTTACAATTAGTTTATGAGCATTAATTTCTGGCCTGGCAAACTAGTTTCAAGGCTATTAATTTACAAGCATAGCCAAGAAGTTGAGCTCAGGACTAGACATAACTCCCGCTAGTAATCAGGGCAAGACATCGACTTGGCAAGACATAAACTTGGACCATCTCAGCTGCAAGACCAGTGGGTCACAAATTAAATACTGCCATCTATAAGGTGACATACAGAGGGGAGGCGGAGTGGCCGAGCAGTTGGAGCGCTGGCACTGCAATCTGGAAGCCCCGAGTTCAATCCCCACCCTAAACACCAGCTGGATTTGTTATTGGTACATGTAGTCTCAAGACTAATTCCTTAGCAATGCTTGTAGATTCTTATGCTAATTTCAAGTATTTGTTTCAGTTCCTATTTGCCTTTTCCTATTGTGCTACAACTATAAAGTCATTTTTTTTCTTAATTACCTGCTTGCTTCTCATAAAAGCATGCTTGAAGTTCTTGTCTTTGACAAACTTTTCCAACCTTCTAAGCTTCGATAAGTCAGTTATCCATTCCTCACCAATTTTCTGCAGGAAATTACGTATAAAAATAATTATTTCAAATGAAATAATTTTACACTTAACTTCTGTTTTGTTAGAGTTAGAAGAAGGAGTAAAACACAAACTTGTAAGTAGCAATCTGATGTATGACCTTTGTATTAACAAGCAGCATAATATTTTTTTTTTGTCCCTAAAAAACACACTGACCATATCCCAACAAAGAAGGAATTTGCCTCATACCCCAACCCTGAAGTGGATTTTGGAAAATTTATCCACCTGAAATTGACTCCACTCTCTTATAATGGCAATTCTTTGTCTTTTGCACACAAATCAGCAAGCAAAAGTAATATTAGCATCAGTCAAATCTAAAGCAAATACAGGGCTGTGAGCACTAGCAGTGTCCGGTAGCCCTTAGCAACTACTTTTGCTCCTGGGCGACTATAAAATGTTACTTTTTCGATAGAAATAATAAGCTGAGCACCCAGGATTTCACAGGTTCAGCGAACTGGGCTCCCCTCAATTTTTCTTAGAGCACAACCTTGACATAAGTATTTGATGGTTAAAGGACAATGTCTAACTCAAGTTTGCCCCACGCCTTTAATACAAATTGTACATATGTGTAATGTCAGACATAAAAAATATTCAAAAACTGAAGATATGAATAATATAGTTGAACCTCGATTATATGGACACGTTGGGACTTGAGTAAATAGTCTGGATAATCAAAAGTCTGGATAACTGAAAATGTGAATATTAATGAGACAATAATGTAGACATAGGGAATAAAGAAAACAAAATTTTATTGTAAATTAACTCCTACTTGAATTTATCAGTATTCATGTATTTTTAATCCCTTGCTCATCTCAATGCCATCAGTGAATTTCAGGATGTTCTCTTTGTTTTTGCGTATATCTGAGATCTGATTTTTTTGCGTATATCTTGCTGATTTTAAACTCGAGTGCCAAATTTGTTCCTTTTTCGCCTTTCTCCAAACGTGAAATAATAATTGTTTGCTTGTCCTTTATCTAGAGAACAGACTACTTTCATTGCAAAGACATAGCTGTGATCTGAGTTTACGATCGATTGGTCTTGTGTTTACATAAATACCAACGTGGAATCAAGCATGACATTCCCTTAGCAACATAACAATATGGAGCCAATCAGAATTCAGATGAACAATTATTGTTCATCTAGTGCCGCTCGCACTTTTTCAAAGAGAAACAACTTAAAACAGTGTTTTGAACCACGTTTGGAAAGATTAATGAACTTTTAATTGTTTCAATTTCTCAAGATCACATCTCACTAATTTCATGAAAAAAACCAGGACAAGGGAAACAAGTCCAGATAATCAAAAAGTCCAGATAATCGAGGTACGGATAATCAAGGTTTGACTGTGATCAGTAGCACGGTTGTCATGATCACAAGGAAAATTCACTGCTCTGCATAAAATATATTTCAATATCTCGGCGCACAATTATTGAATGCATTTGAGACTTTCCTCGATTATCAGAGGTATATTAAAGATTATTTTCTGATAAAGGTTGGGGAATTATGTTCTACCATAAAAAATTAAATCCGCACTGAGTTGTGAAGGTTGCCGTAAAAACATGGCGTCACGCGTAACACGCGCGTATAGTCGTCCTTCACTTTTAACCTGTTTTCGCTAACTTCTATTTCTTTTACCGTCCTCAAAACTTTTATGTGTAAAGAATATTCTTATTGTTAGTTATAACTCAAACTAAAATCTCAAAATTCCCATTCGATTTTCGTCAAAACTGACCAAACCACTCGCGATTTGATGCGTCACGCTCAAGACTTGGAAGAGACCAAACATTTTCAATGTCATGTATCATTCATATTTCTTGACTCACAAAACAATTTTTCATCCAGACACAATGCTCATAAGTTGATTTTAACTTTCCTGTAGTCTCTTGTTGTGTGAATGAATTCTTGCGGAATTATTAACTTTTTTCTGCGTTCTAAACATTCGGGAAGCGGTGTGATACGGCAAGCAGAATTTCCGGTCGTTGACCTTTCGTGCCGTCCTGTCTGCGCTCTGTGTTCTGGATTGTATCAAAGTTGACAGGAGCAAAATGCTCAAATGTCACGCTAAATTTTGATACCAAAACCAGTCGAGAAGGCCAAAACCCGACGAAAATATTGAGATTTGAGTTTGTTCTAAACACCAAGAGAGTTATTTTCCTCCGTGAAGAGTAAGCGATCGAATTTCACGCAGAATCTAGCTCGACACAGCAACCGCTTGTACTGTTTCGTTCGCTCTAAAATACACTGAAAATGACTCACTGTTTACTCAATAAATTTGCATTGTCTTAGACTTCCATATTAGGAAGAAAAATATTGCATAAGCTCAGGAAATGAGCGGGAAATATCTTCATAGCACGTGCGTTCTTGATACGCATTTCATATCGCACGCGTGAGCACAAAACAGTCAAATACAATCAGAAGTATGGATTCTGGAGTTTCTCGGATTCAGCAGTGGTGAGAACAAAAAAGAAAAGGAAAAGCAAGAGAAAAGAAGAGCTCATTATAAAAAAAAAATAGAAGGAAATTTATTCAAAAAATACTGGAAGCCCGAAAGAAAAGTCAAGAAGCCAAGTGTGGACCGTGGACGGTCTTTGTTCTTCAAGAAAAATTCTTTCTTAGGGAAAACATGATTGATCAGACATATAAACTTGATGAAAAGGTGGCAGCAGTGCTTCCAGGAACTGTACGTTATATTTGTGGTGCCTTGCAATCAAAGGGAAAGAGACGGCAAATATTTCAAGTTCCATTGAATGAACATGAGCAAATGTTGGCATCTCTTTGACTTTCTTACAATTAACATGTGTTTTTTTGTTGTAAATACATTTGTAGCTTTAAACTGAAATTTCTGCTTAAAAATTGCCTGAGAGGAATGAAGATGAAATATATTTTGTGCGAAAGGGCTTGGTCGCAATGCATCATGGGTAATAGAAAAATAGCAGAAAATGTCCTCAAAAATTATTGAGGTGGCATTTTTTTGCAATATTATCATTTTTTATTGCTTTTTAGAGTTCCTTGAAACACCTACTGTATTTTTTTTAAAAATTTTGATTTTAGGCCAATGTTACACCTTTGTACATCAGAACTGTGCTACTGATCTGTACTTTTAAAAAGCATGCATTTGGTTATTGTAATTGTAAGCAGGATGCAGAAGAGTGGTACTGGGAATAAGAATTTTTGTCAAATGGAAAGGGACATATCCAACCAACCAAAATGCCAGATCAGTGCAAGTATTCCAAGTGAACACTCCAGTCAAACCAACCAAACTGAAACGGTTCATTCCATTTGACTTTATAAAAAAAATTCCAGAATTTAAGGGTGAATGGAAAGCACCCTGTTTCACCCCCTCCACTCTGTGAATTCCAGAAATCCAAGGCATCTGAACCCTCTCCTGCAAATAAACAGTACCTCACCTCACAGATAAGATCTGACAATCCAGGATTGCAGAGTAGAAGCCATCGACGAGGTGTTACACCATTAGTTTTGTTCTGAAACTTTTCTGGGTACATTTCATAGAAGTCTTTAAAACTGAAAAGGAACCAAATAACATTACACTTTTACACATTTTATAACTTAATTTCAAAACAAGAAAAATTTAAATCAGACAGCAATATAAAAATTATGTTCCCTCTAGGTGAGGAAAAAATACAATAAGAGTAAATCAATGGATTGGTGTTTTGCAGCCATCAGTCACTCTTACTAGTAAACCTCTCTGGAAAAAAAAGTTGTTTTGTATAACCTCAAAAGACCATGTCTGTGGGATTTAATTGGCATAAAAATTATTTCAATCCATTTCAATGTTTGTTTTCTTTTTGAAAGGTTCACATATTGTTGTCACAATTATAGACTCGTAAGACAAGAACTTATACCACATACGACTATGATTGACCTGGCAGCAAAAAACACACAATCTTCAGTTAATTTTTATAGTTTTGAGTTCATGCATTATTGAAAAGGCACAGTAACAATCCAACGATACATACATAGTTGTCGTCAGTAGCTGTGAATGTAATGCAGCCACACCATTGATTGCATGAGAACCAACAATGCACAAATGTGACATGTTAATGCGCTTTTCAGGACCTTCTTCCACCAGAGACATCCGACGCATCCTGTCCATGTCACCTGGCCATTTTTCTGTCACTTTCTGATAAAACAAACAAACAAAGCAACCACATCAGCCACAATATTGACAAGTGAGGTATGGAATAAGATACAACTGTATAAGATTATAAATAATACTCCATGGAAAGTGTACGTGTATGGTATTTACGCACGAGCTGTTGACGTACCAGTAATCAAACAAGTGCGCCCAGCGAACGAGTGAGATCTCTGGTACACAAACACAAGTGCATAAATACTGTACAAAGCACTTTCCATGTGGTATTGTGTTTCTTATAAAAATACTGAGACATTCATCATTTTTCCATCCCTTTATTTCAAATCTTTCCAAATGCTTACATGCTTAAAATTTAATCAGTGTGTACTAAAGTGGCAACTTTAATTTGCTGCTACACACTGCAAAATGACAATTACAAGAAAATGAAGTAGTAATATAAACAAACATTCAGTTTTCAATGTCTAAAAAATCAAAGTTACCTTCAGGAATAAGGAATTGATTTCAAAGATAATCTGAAGGTGCCGTGGCAGAATGTATTCCAGCATGTGCACAGGCCACCTCTCCAATGCTTCAGGGAGGACTGTGTGGTTGGTGTAACTGAAGGTCTTTACACAGAGGTTCCAAGCCTAAAAAATGAAACCATTGTAAAGTGCAGTCATGTTAAACACAAAGCCTGGCTGACAAGAGGTGCAGGCCATGGCCATTCACTTCAAATCAAATGTACAGCTGTAGTATCACTTTAAGGCACAGATGATATGACGATGGTCGGTTTTACAAAATTGTTTTATCGGTATCTCACACCAAGGCTGCAATAATTATTTGTGAAGATTTCACATTATTGGTATACGCAATTAATAGGTGAGTAAATAAATAGCTAGATCTAGTTCTTTTGCTTTTGTTTTCTATGAAAATAGAAGGGGCCCTGCTCATACTTGTAATATATACCCTTTCAGTCCAAATATTGACCAACGTCAATTTTCTCCCAACGATATACATAGATTGTCAAGAGCAAAGTCTATGAGAATTAATAAAATGATTACAAAGAGAAAAATCTTTGATCTTTTATCAAATTCTCTCAACTAATTTCTAAAGGAATTATAAGTAGATCAGTCTGGAGAATTTGTATACATGTAGGTATTGGCGCTCCCCAGATCCTGGCCCTCGAGTTTGTGCAAGCTGCAGATAATCATTAAACACAGTTGTCTTCAAAGAATCTTTGGTATTAGTGACTTTTGGTGAAAGTTTAACAGAGGGGCAGGCATTGAGAAATGCTAGGCCTGGACACACAGGACAAGTTGAAAAAACTGCGAGGCAAATGCTTTATTTCTGTCTATTTTATAGGTACTTTTCAATTACCTACACGAAATGCACTATAAGAAATCATACCCTCAGATCTTTATGAATTCACAATAATTAACACAACTCATGCATGAATGTAACCAGAAAAAAAGACATGATAGTAATAATCATGTACCGTATTTTTTCGCTTATAAGGCACAGGATTTTTTCAAAGAAAGTCTGCTTGATAGCTCTAAATCTGTTGTAATTTCGGGGTGCGTCTTATAACCGAGTATCTTCGAGCAACAAAACAAAATTAAGTTTGACAACTTAGAAAAATCATGTTGAAAAGTTGGGGGTGCATCTTAAGTGCGCCTTATGACCGAAAAAATACAGTAACTGAGTTTCAACTGTGCCCTTCTGTTTATGACCTCCTTGAAAAAACCATTCCCATAGGCAGGGAACCCGTCTTCTGTGTCACCAGGCATAAACCACATTCCAAGTTTTACTAACAAAGAACTCACTAAATTCCAAGTACACTGGTCACTCGTACTAAGCGAAAAAAAAAAAGAAAGAAAGAGGTGCCTAGAACATGCAGCATATGACCAGGCACAACTTACATGTATACAAGGGAGCATCCACAGATATAAGAGTAATAATTTTTTCTTTACTTACCTTGTCCCATGTGAGACCTTCCTTGTCCACAAATATCCTCATTAGTTCAGGAATGGCCAGAGAAGGATGGGTGTCATTGAGCTGAATGGCAACCTATCAAGTACAGCATACACGTATCACATTTTTAGATTCAATACCTACAATCCTGGACAAAAGTCCACAGTAATGCATTATTCATAATTTCTGGGTTCGCTCATAAAATGTGCATTTTGAGAATGCGCATTTTTGTTTGGGCCCTTTCTTAGGCTAAAATGACTAGATGGGACTTTTTTCAAGCCACTTGCACGAGCGCCCCGTGTCTCATATGATAATCAGTGGGCCCTAAAACTTGAACTTGCTTACACCGTAAATGTATGACGGAGGTTTCAATTTTGCAGAAAACATGACAAAACTATCAGAACAGTGAACAAAACAATCATGGTCTGGTCTGTTAGCAAGATATAGTACTATCATTCTTAACAATTATTTTTGATTTGAATATTATTTAATTTTAGGCTCAAAAAGTCAATGGGACTTTTGAGAAACAGACCCCTGGCAACTTGAAATCTTAGTAACAGCCCTGATATGATTGAGCCTGGAACCAAAACATGCCCAGAATGGTACGTATATTTTTTTGATAATATTTTTTAATAAAAAATTATTTTTTCTACACTAACTTTGTCAGGAAAGTCCTCAAAGGTGGTCCTCACAGCTTCTTTGGAGCCAAATTTAGGAGCTTTGTACCTTCTAACAATATCTGACAGAGTGGCAGAGACCATGAAGTACTGCTGCTTCAGTCGCAGCTCCTTCCCTTCAAAAAACTGCAAAGATAATAAGGTAATTAGTGTATTAAAAAAATTAATATGCTAATCACAAGATTTGTGATTCAACAACAACCTCCACAGCTCTAGGGCTGATCAAGTTCTTCACAAAAAACAAGTTTAATTTGGAGTTTCAATTTCTTGTTTCCTCTTAAGCGATAAAATTAAGATAGCTTGCACGGGGCTCTCAGTCAACACGGATGAGTGAAAAAAGTAAGAAAAGAGTAGGGGAGAGCTTGTAAGCACCTTTTCAAAAATTCCTCAATCTGAATATTTACTAATCAATCCCTGTCAAAATGTCAAATGTCAAAACGTCAAAAGGCACAGTGTAGGAGGTGTTCACATGCTCGACCAGGGCTGTCAATGAGGGCCGCACCGGTAGCTGGCCAAAACCGCCAGCTAGGTGTCTGTCCTTAGCTGGCTACTTTCATCTCCTTCTACCATAACTGCTAACAAAAAATAAGCTCCATCGAATAAAATTGTAAAGCATCTGTGTTCCAGTTTTGAATGACATTGAATGCATATTTAAACAGGATTAGATCTGTGAAACGTTCGAACCGTGCGATGTCATGGAATGCCTGCGACATTTCGAAGGCATTGTTCCAAGTGTTGCAAGTATTCTGACGAAACAATATAGCATCCGTGATGGAAAATACCTCTTGAAAACCCCTGGAAATGTCATTTCTGAGACTCAAAAGACTCACAATGTCCCTCGATGCCTCAGCCCTCAAGAACTTCGGCCTTTGGTGCAAGTTTCAAAATCATCTACTATTCATTATCAGCCTGCTACTTGAAAACTTTTTGACAGCCCTGTTGACATGTTTGTTAGACTCTGTATGCGCAAAGCCAAATGATTCATGTAAGTGTTGAAGTTGACTGTCAGGAGCTGGTATACTGGAATGATATATTGAAAACGATAATTACAGACTCTACTAAGTCATCTCTCCCCAATCCCGTTTTCATTCAACTACAGATAGGCTCCAAGCAATAAGATTATCACTACAGTATAAGGTATTGTATCTTACATATGGAAAATAAAATTAACCCAGTGAAAGATTTTCAAACCATAAAAAATTGAGTAATGACATGCATACATGCACACAGCTGTGCATTAGTTAACATTTTAACCAGTACTACGTAAAATTAAATAATTATTGTACTTCCAAGTCACTGATAATAATTACAGATTACTTAGAATCTTACATTGTCATTTGGGTATAAAACTCGCGAGATATTTTCAGCCACGTTCCTGTCCAAAACAGCCTTGATATAGTCTCCTCCATTAACTGAAGAAAAAAACAAAAACAACACCTTGTTCTCATTACAGACAAGAAGATGACACATCTGCACAGAAAAGCATGTAATAATAAATGAAGCAATGTCATGCAATTTAGCCAAATTCAGCCACTACTGGTCACCAAATTCCAAGAGTGGAATTAGGGTTCCCCTCAAAATGTACAATGTAAACAATTCAATTAGGCTACAAAAGGGTAGATTAAAAGGCAGCTTTTCACTTGGCACAGCTGCATTTCAGGGAAAGTAGGTTCATCCTCTTTCTAGTGAGAAATAGAGAGCTTAAGTAGCAACGAAGGCTACAAAACATCGCTTAAAAAGTGAATTCATGCTACTTTGCACTTTATCGCGCTTATTTCAACTTGTTCAATTCGTCAAATGATGGCAAATTTTTCTGGAGTTGAATTCAAAAAGACGATATTGAAGTTCAGGAAAAGAAAAAGAAAGTTGTTGTCCTGTGTTCACGTCCTTGACAAAAGATGAAATTATGCACTTTCACATTGCAGTCGTGTAGCGATAGCAAAGAAATCAGTTATTGTTTAGCCAATCTCAACCTACTGCTTTTTCACTGTTCATTGCTGTTGCCGTTGCGTAAGCTCCCTAATAATTTAATTTTGGGGCAACCTGAATGGTGCATTAATTTTCAGTGAATTTGAACAAATTTTAGCCATCAAAATGGCACCTATACAGGGTTTTCAATAAGGGCCAGCAGCTGGTGAAATTCACCAGCTATTTCACATGAACTCACTACCTACTTTTCTTTGGAAGTTACCCCAGTTTTTTCAAATAACATGATTTAAAACAGATACTAAAACAACCAATGGTTAATAGCTTAATTGGCAAGAAGAGATAAATTTAAAAAGTACATGTAGAGTATTCATGTGCTGTCACTGAATAAAAAGCCAAAATTTAATGATGTCTGTACTCAGTTCAAAAACTCTAATTCTTGCATTTTATGCATTCTAAGAAGCCCAGATTTCAAAATTTTTCCTGGGGGGAACGCTGCTGGACCCCCCAAGAAACTTGCGCCTTCAAGCGCAAGTTTTTTCCATTCCAAAGCTTTTGCCACCTACAGTGTACTTAAAACCTTATTGAAAACCCTGCCTTTATTTACCTGACATTTACTTTACTGTTTGTTTTTATTGAACTTTGAAGTTCAATTTACAGTTCAGTTTTAAGGTTCAATGGACACAACAAAGCCTTGTAGACCCAAAGGACCAATGTATATATTATTTAATGATACAATTTATTGGATAACAGCATGTATATAAAAAAATACTCACAGTATGAGAGATCAAAACCCTTTGGTGATTTTGCAGCCCAAAGCCTCATGGTGTTACATGTGTTGTTGTTATATCCAGGAATTGGCTGATCATACGGCATGGCAAAAGTGGTGATGGTGTCCACCCAGCGATGGGTCTTTCCACTGGCATCTGACTCTACCCTACCATAAAACTCAACAGGAATCAGGTACTCTGGTCTGGCTTTTTCCCAAGGGTTTCCAAACTTAAGCCAGTCATCTGGCAACTCCATCTACAATCAAAACAAAACTGTTGTTACCTTATAAACCTACAAATACAGCTGTCTCTATTTGCCCCTTGCAGGGACGTGTTGTAAGAGTGATGTCTACACTTCTGTCATTGTCTCCTGTGAACTGCGCTACCAGCAAAGAGGGAGAAGAGTTGGCTGTATTCAAAGGCTATTACAGGCAAACTGACAAAACCGAGAACACTTGAAATATTTCAGGAATGTTTATTGTGTTACAACCAATCACAGCAAAGATCAGGACATGCGAACTAGCCACAAACTAATTAAGGTTCTTACTTGCAGTTTAGTTTCTCTTTCCCGATTGGCTTTTTTTCCCAACACTATAACATTCCAGAAGTATATCTGGTGTTCACAGTTTTCCCGGTTTTACTTTAACTCATAAAATAAGGAAGCGACCCTTAATGCTATCAATTCAAATTGGCAGGTTGAAGCTGGCTTTACGATATTTTCAATGGGTTTAAATATACTTTAGAGTAATGGTACAACAGAAGGATAATGGTGTACAGTAACTACTGAAGACAGGTCCATGCATTTTTTTCTTCTGTGTAGGTAATAGCAGGAGTCCATAACCAGCACTGTAGTCCCCCATGTGCTGCCTAGCCCAAATGATAGTCACAAGAGTGTCTATTTGTGAATGTGATAATGGCTGTTTTACTGATAGAGACATTAAAGTCACCTAGATGTATTTAATGTCTGAGATTTTTATCCCAACAGACCTTTCCCTCATTCCTGGTAAACAAAGGCATCAAGTCAAGGCTTGGGTGGACAAAATCCAGTGATTGGTATGAAATTGTCCCCCCCGAGCTTCAACGTCAATTTTTTATGTTTGTTCACTAGAGCGGAATGCGGGAAAGGTCTACTGGTGTAAAAACAGGACACACAAAAGTAGATGAAACTGACTCTTCCCAGTCATCTCTCAACAAGTTAGGTATAAATGCCTCCCAATTAACTGCGTCCTGTTTTACACTAGATACATTTAACTTTTTTTCCAATAATTCATAACAAAGGAAAGGTTGTTTTCTTGAATTTTGATTCTTGGTTTTCTGGAAAGGGTTGTGTGAACTACCCCCAGGTAAACTGTTATGTATTAAAGTTATCTGTGTACCTGATTCCCATGGCCATCGATAGACTGTTTAAAAATGCCATATTCATATCTGATGCCATATCCATATGCTGGATAGCCTAATGTTGCCAGCGAATCCAAAAAACATGCAGCCAGCCTTCCAAGACCACCATTTCCAAGGCCAGCATCTTCTTCTACTTCTTCCAGTTCTTCCATCTCGAGACCAAGCTGCATAAAAGAACAAATGACATATTCTAGTTAAATCTATCTGCCTGCAAGGGGCTTCATTTCCACTAACGGGTAAAAGATAAGCTGAATTTTGAATAGTTAAATGCCACCTTGTAAACGGGAAGATTAGTATTACCGAAAATTAGTACCCTTGCATGGAAAGTGTGACAAATCATGAATGGTATTGTACCGGGTTTACAGACACTCCATTCCAACAATTAGAGAGAAATACCAGTTATTCAAATAGAACATAACAGGATTAAAAACTCCAAATGGCAGGAGGCAACCAGTTGGCTATTAAGAAGCTTGGCCGAAGTTTGGACTTGGGACAACCAAGAAAACAGTTGGTGACCGGAGCAGGACTCAAACCCCGGATCAACATACTAAAAATCAAACACACTGACTACTCGTCCTAGAAATGGTGTGACCTTGGCACAAAAAGATTCCTCACGACACCCATTTTTATTTTACACATTACGAAAGGGCGTTGTTCCAATGCTGCTATACTGTATTACTCATAAAATACAACTAAGAAGAATTTAAGTGTTTTTACACTGTACAAAGCAAGAAGTGATAGCACTGTCTTGACTACGTAGCTCAAGACTGGTGAATATGTTTTATGAAATTGTTAAATTTTCAGCTGGAGTTCTTACCTGGTACATGGCCTCATCACATTCTCCTTGAATCCCCAAATTAATCATGGTATTGGTCAAAGCACGGCCCATGTAATACTCCAGTGACAGATAGTACACACGCTGTTAAGAAATCAAACAATTGAAAATGACCATCAGCAAAAGCAGTTTCTTAGGCTATGTTTATACTTTACTGGATAGCTCTTGTGTTGGCACAAAAAACCATCTGTTCACACATAAGAATGATGACTTCAGCACAATTTCTGTAACAGAGCAAAACTGTGCTATGCCAATCTCAAAAGTAGAGTGTCACATACCGGATAGATACTGTGCCAGACTTTGATGAGGGTGAGCAATGGAATTTAGTTCACCAAGCCTTCTCAGTCAACTGCTCCAGCACAATATCATTATGTATAAATGATTTACTCCAGTTGTGTGCCATTGCACTTACCATACCTGACAGCTTTTCAAGTCAGTACAATAAGCTATCCAGTATGCACTGTAGTGTGAACATAGCCTTAAAGGGCTTACAAGAAATCCTCTATTACACCCCCTCTCAAATAAGCCTCTCCCCTCTCTATTACCACCCCTCGCCCCCTTCTCCTCCTCTAATTATTCTTCACTAATAAATGATAGACTGTATTAATCAATCTTTGTGCGTGCACGTTGTGTGGACTGATTTGGGATGATTTATATACATGTACCAACTAGAAGTTCAGATTTCATTCTGATCCTCAGCTGAATGACCTCCAACCTTCTTGCATTTGAGCTTTTCCACTTTGTATTTGTATTTATTAATGGCGAACTGATACCATCACCTTTTCTTAATTAAAGAAGCCCCACTTCTCAAATAGTAAGCTCTCTGTCTCTAGTAAACCCTCCCCACTCCCCCCCCCCCAAATGGGATTGAAATAAATAAGCTCCCTGAAGGGGGGGGGGGGGGCTAAATAGAGGATTTAGGGTATCAAGAAACCACAGGAATAGACATTACAACAGAATAGAGGAAACAGTGTCAGTTTTCTGTATTAGGCCAAAAGTTCATGTATACCTTGGGAAACAACAGTTGCCAACAACAGTGCTAATTACTACATGTATGTTTATTTATCTTTAAAGTAATGATGGGTGAAATAATTAGTTGTTTTTTTTCTTTTAGCTAACAGTCCTACATTATTTTGTCTTGTATTCATGTACATTAAATATAGGAAAATGTTATCTTCGCATCTTTGAGCTTAAATCTAACAAAACAACAACAACAACAGAAAACACTACAAATAATAATCATCTGAAAATTGATCAATATATAAATGTGTAATGCAAATTAAAGTTTCTGATGGTTCTGCACAACAAAAAAGAAACTGTCCACTATATATTTAATTGCTCTACGCTCTGTTAATAAACTAATAAAAACCAAAAACATGACCAATACTAGAGAAAATGCGGGTTCTGATTTACAATGCACATTGACTGGAGGGCCTGCAAAAGCATCCGCCAGATGGGGCGTGAAAATTAATTTTAACATTTTATGACCTTTTTACTGCTAGTAGTAAATGAGTGCTTAGAAAAATAATCTTTAACGTTGTGAAACGTAGAAACAGTAAAAATGAGGTGCGATTCAATAAACATTACCGTCGACTTGAGATAAAATTAAAATATTTGCAGTGAGTTTTGAGTGTGCGCGCAGAATCTGCAATATCATCTTGCCTTGTGTTTCGGTATACGGACTAGCATAATATTCAATTTCATTCGATAGGTTTGGCGACTAAATGAGAACTTCCATAAGATTTCACAGTGTGTGAAATGTAGTTCAATATGAGACTATTTGTTTAACGAGTTGGCACGTATTGACGAACGACCGAACGCATGAATTCCGTGCTAATATCGTGATCTACATCACACGTAAGAAGCTACTCATAACATATACATCTGTAGACAAAAAGACCGACAAATAGTACGCCAATACCTTTGGATCCTTCTCATAATATGACTGCTGTGATCTTATCCACTTTCCGACTAAGTAATCCTTTACTGTGTGAGCCAGGGACGTATAATAATCTCGTTTGGTCGCCACATTTCGATCCTTCACAAGCGTGAGCCTTCGAAGAGAGATTTGTCTCTTTCTTTCTGCGTCTGTTAACGGTTTTTCACCCATAGCTTACCAGATATAAAGGTAAATGTCCGAGAATTCAGACTTCACTGCCCTTTCTGCACAGCAGTTCAGCGCCCGGCCCGGCAAAGCAAACAAAGATCCCTCACTATTTAGGATCCAGTCTCCACTCAAAATTTCCTGCCCTTTTAACGGAAGTCACTTTAATAAAAGTGAGCGAAGCAAGCTCGTGGAGCAATGGCATAACCAACCAGAAAAAAAATAAAGGACTTTTAAAACGTCTAATGCTAGACAAGAAACAATCCGGTGAATACGTTTGGGTTTCTATAACCCGAGAGGCCCTAAGAACTCGAAAGATGACCGCGAGGCAAGGAGGCAGCCTACGAATGTAGACGTATTTCCGGTTGTCGCTTCTCGGTAGCGACAAGGAAAGAGGCACAAGTATGGGTGCAGGAGAGGGACAATGAGTGCGAAAAGAGAACGAAAAAGATGGGGAAATGATGTCTGCTAGATTACAACATGTTTAATGGCATCTTTCAGAGACTTGGCCATGAGTGCAGTCTAAAAAATGTTGCGATGGTTGTAAAAGGGAACTGCAGAGCGGTAACCTTATGTTCCAGGATTGCGGAGGCGGACAGTGTAAAGGAATGAGTAAAGTGCAACAGGTCGAGACTGGAGCCTTGGTTAAATACCTCTGTCTAATGTAGAACTTGTGAACATTCTTTGTTCTATACTTCTTTTTCTTGGTTCTTATAGTGTTTACTTCTTTGTTTTACGTCATCAGTGAGTTTTACAGTCTTTATGGGTTCTTCTAGTTACAACGGGGGATTGGGCCTGATATCAGAATGATGAAACTTGAAAAAACAGGTGAATTGAATGAGAATGAGTGAGTTCAAAGAACCGTCTTTCCAGTAGCTCATGAATAAAGCAAAAAGCGCAAAGAAAGAAAAAATAAACAAAAGCCTTCAAAACCCAGTCTCAGCAGACAATAATCATTCCGAATAAAGGTTTTACTGGATTGTAGAGCATAAAGTCGATCAATCGGCTGACGCTGTACACCAGCTCTCGTTTTAACCATTGATGCAGTGGACTTACTTTTGTTTGGTATTTTCTGAAATGATCAAGCTATTATCACGGATAAATCCTTTGCAGTACTTGCAACTAATGCAACTAATTTAATGAGTGCGGCGAGCATACAAATTACTATACCCGTCTTGACATCCCTCTGAGTTCAGAATACAAAACTAAGGGCCTGTTTACATGGAGTGGGGGACCACGGTCAAGTGGGGTTGGTTTCTTTTGTTTTCACACAAAACAAAAGAAACTTACCCCACTAGACCGGGGTCCCCCACTCCATGTAAACAGGGTCTTAAGCTTCTTGTGTTTGAGAGGAAACATAACAACGACGGCGACGTCATCGATAACGGCAAAAAAACAATAGGTTTAGATTGGCAAAACAACAACTTCAGTGTACGTTCATCACGCTTTTTTGTACATTTCTTTGCAGTCACTGCACGACTACGACGTGAAAATACCTAATTTCACGATTTGTCGACGACGGGAACACAAGACAACGACTTTGCTTTTCTCTTCCTGAACTTCGATACAGACCTTTAGAATTCAAGTTGCAAAAAAATTGCCAACATTTGACAAATTAATTGAGATGGATTACGCAAATTCACTTTTTAAGTGACGTTTTTGTCGCTCTCCTAGCTCACAAACCACCGTGCTCNTATGACTGCTGTGATCTTATCCACTTTCCGACTAAGTAATCCTTTACTGTGTGAGCCAGGGACGTATAATAATCTCGTTTGGTCGCCACATTTCGATCCTTCACAAGCGTAAAGTGCAGATGCCGATTGAAGGATTCTTTAAGACTGCTAACACCTTCGACGACTGGGAGCCTTCGAAGAGAGATTTGTCTCTTTCTTTCTGCGTCTGTTAACGGTTTTTCACCCATAGCTTACCAGATATAAAGGTAAATGTCCGAGAATTCAGACTTCACTGCCCTTTCTGCACAGCAGTTCAGCGCCCGGCCCGGCAAAGCAAACAAAGATCCCTCACTATTTAGGATCCAGTCTCCACTCAAAATTTCCTGCCCTTTTAACGGAAGTCACTTTAATAAAAGTGAGCGAAGCAAGCTCGTGGAGCAATGGCATAACCAACCAGAAAAAAAATAAAGGACTTTTAAAACGTCTAATGCTAGACAAGAAACAATCCGGTGAATACGTTTGGGTTTCTATAACCCGAGAGGCCCTAAGAACTCGAAAGATGACCGCGAGGCAAGGAGGCAGCCTACGAATGTAGACGTATTTCCGGTTGTCGCTTCTCGGTAGCGACAAGGAAAGAGGCACAAGTATGGGTGCAGGAGAGGGACAATGAGTGCGAAAAGAGAACGAAAAAGATGGGGAAATGATGTCTGCTAGATTACAACATGTTTAATGGCATCTTTCAGAGACTTGGCCATGAGTGCAGTCTAAAAAATGTTGCGATGGTTGTAAAAGGGAACTGCAGAGCGGTAACCTTATGTTCCAGGATTGCGGAGGCGGACAGTGTAAAGGAATGAGTAAAGTGCAACAGGTCGAGACTGGAGCCTTGGTTAAATACCTCTGTCTAATGTAGAACTTGTGAACATTCTTTGTTCTATACTTCTTTTTCTTGGTTCTTATAGTGTTTACTTCTTTGTTTTACGTCATCAGTGAGTTTTACAGTCTTTATGGGTTCTTCTAGTTACAACGGGGGATTGGGCCTGATATCAGAATGATGAAACTTGAAAAAACAGGTGAATTGAATGAGAATGAGTGAGTTCAAAGAACCGTCTTTCCAGTAGCTCATGAATAAAGCAAAAAGCGCAAAGAAAGAAAAAATAAACAAAAGCCTTCAAAACCCAGTCTCAGCAGACAATAATCATTCCGAATAAAGGTTTTACTGGATTGTAGAGCATAAAGTCGATCAATCGGCTGACGCTGTACACCAGCTCTCGTTTTAACCATTGATGCAGTGGACTTACTTTTGTTTGGTATCTTCTGAAATGATCAAGCTATTATCACGGATAAATCCTTTGCAGTACTTGCAACTAATGCAACTAATTTAATGAGTGCGGCGAGCATACAAATTACTATACCCGTCTTGACATCCCTCTGAGTTCAGAATACAAAACTAAGGGCCTGTTTACATGGAGTGGGGGACCACGGTCAAGTGGGGTTGGTTTCTTTTGTTTTCACACAAAACAAAAGAAACTTGCCCCACTAGACCGGGGTCCCCCACTCCATGTAAACAGGGTCTTAAGCTTCTTGTGTTTGAGAGGAAACATAACAACGACGGCGACGTCATCGATAACGGCAAAAAAACTATAGCTTTAGATTGGCAAAACAACAACTTCAGTGTACGTGCATCACGCTTTTTTGTACATTTCTTTGCAGTCACTGCACGACTACGACGTGAAAATACCTAATTTCACGATTTGTCGACGACGGGAACACAAGACAACGACTTTGCTTTTCTCTTCCTGAACTTCGATACAGACCTTTAGAATTCAAGTTGCAAAAAAATTGCCAACATTTGACAAATTAATTGAGATGGATTACGCAAATTCACTTTTTAAGTGACGTTTTTGTCGCTCTCCTAGCTCACAAACCACCGTGCTCAATTTTGCTTTGTTAACTGAAACTTTCATTGTATCATTTTCAAAATTATTGAAACTTTGATATTGAATAACAACACCACAAACATAAAGCAGCTTCCCGGGCCCGAAAAGTTACCGGCACTTCTCGAGAAACGGGCCCCAGAAAAGAAAAAAAAAACACCAAAAAAACCGCCAGCTATGCGGGTTTAACTTCTTAGCCGCCTTTGTCATACACTGACTGCAACAGAATCTTTCAGCATGAGCCTTTTACAATAAAAATTGACGTATCACGATCGTTGAACATGAACAAGGCTCTCGTGTGTCACTAGCCTGTTCCAGGCTCCGAGAAAGTGGAGTCCGCTGAATTAAGAAAGCGCAAGCACGAAAATAAAACGCCGCGTTAACTTTTCGCGTCTCTTTTTCTTTCGCGTCTTGCCCACTAGTACTATCTGAGAGCCTGGAACAGGCTATTGGGTCACCTGTGAACAATCAGTTAAATTTAATGAAACCATTCTTTCACATGATGTCATTGCGATCGCGAAAAGTAAGGGAAAAATCAATCTATGCAGAAGTTGCAGAAGAAAGAAGGGTAGAAACCATGTCATTCCGAGTTTCCAAACACTCCCTGCTTTGTCAGCCTTCAAAGATCTGCAAATATGTCAGCTCAATATTTATCTCAGCTATGCGACACTAAACGTGGCTTTCTAGAGAAAATAAGACAAATTAATCAAGAAATTCCGCATTGCTCAAAAACGTGTTTTTTTATTATGCACGCTCCGCAAACACAAAGTTATTATATAACGTTTTACTAACGAGAATACTATATCATCATCATCCAACAAATTTCGTGCCAAGTTAAGCTTTTTAAAAAACAAAACTCTTCTACAAAGTTGCATGTAAACGAATGCGAAGCTACTGCACCAGGCGAAATCCCATGGGAGTGATGTGCACAGTTTCTTCTCACCATTCTCAACCACAAAATATTTTTTTGAACAAAACTACAAACATGAACCAACAAAGAAACACTTAACTAAACAAAACATCAAAATTATATCCTTCGATAGGCGACACTTGAAAAAGCTTTAGGAATACCCTCTTTCGTAATACACAAATGCTACTCCCTTGTAATTTTACTGAACAAAAATGTATCCCATAGCTTTGATGTGCTTGTCTCCGTTATCTGCCCCGTTCGCGGCTGATGCTTCGTTTCCACACGTGTTGGCGTCATCGGGGCCTCCTCCAGTACCAAACCCGATTCTGGAATCACAAGTTACGCAATCATTTTCGTTATTTCCAAGTATACCAATTCTCGCTGCTCTGAGGGCGTATGCGGGATTGCTGTAGCTCCATTTGGTGTTGAATCCTTCCTGGTTACAGTTAGGCTGTAGGGAAGCTACAGAACCAATCAGCGACTTCCACTTGTTGCGACCCAGTGAGGTAGGGCGGTAAAGACCATCAGAAATCAGTGAGTGGAGGGAACTGGCTTGCTTGAAGAG